CTCTCATAAAGATTATAATTTAAACAAGAGTCCCTTTCACTAAAAAGAGATTCTCATTGCCCAATTAACATAATGAAACAAATTTTTTTAAATTCGTTACATAACCTTTTTCTCATTCTTTTACTCACCTCAGTTCATGCCCTACTATTGGCAACTTCAAAAATATTTTGTGGTGGCAAACAATTTTAAAAAATAGAGAGAGTGAGTTGAAACTTGAAAGGAATTTGATGGACCAAGTATTCTAAATCTTTATCCTTTCCTTGGGTTAATGCCATCTATCGTCCCTCTACTATAAAAATAGTGCAATCTAAACTTTCTACCATGCGTTGGCTCCATGTCGTCCCTCTACTATCAATTAACTCCACCTGTTGTCCCTCTACAATGCTACAACATGTTATTGTCGTCCCTCCGTCCAATGCAAGCTAACGGTACTGTTTATTGACCATTAAGTGCAACGGTCACACCGGTTAGGTCTCATAAAAATTTTTTATGTGCCACCTTACCTTGTGAGCTCCACCCTTACCGCATCATCTCCAACCGGTACAAGGCTTTTTCATTAGACAAAGTAGGTATTTGCTGCATTGATGGAATGACCATAATCTAGTCGTCTAGTGGGACAAAATCATTTATAAATAATTTCTTTTGGGTCCTTTTTTTTACATCAAAAATATTGTCACAGTTAAAATCGTTAATAATTTAATACTGTTGAACTTACGATAATTAATAGTTTTGTTAAAATTATTAATTTTTATTATAATTTTATAATTTTATAATTTTTTACTAATTAATTATAATATTTAAAAATAGTTATTTAAATTTTATTTAAATTTATTTAATAATAAATATTAATTATTTTATTAATTATTTAATTATTTTAACAATTACATTAAAATAAAAAATTTAATAATTTTAATAATTCAAATAAAAATTTAAGTTATGCTCTAGACCCTGTTTTGTTGATCATTTTTATTGGAAGTTTTCTAGAATGACCTGATCTATTATATTGAATTAGACTGAAAGCTTTTACCCATATGATGAGGTTATTTTTGTTGTTAACTTGTTATTGTTATTGTTGTCTCTGCCACTGAATAAAGATATTCTATAGGGGTTAGGGACAATGCACTACATGGTTATGGTAGCATAACTGAATCACTTAGCATATGATTGATTTCCATTTAAGCAGATCTTACCCCTTTTTTGGCTTTACATATGCTTGAACTCTCTGTATCTCCATAAATATTCCACTTTCTGCATTCATATATTATGATCTTGTTCAGTTGGTGAAATACTAACAGCTTATTTTGAGAGTAGAAGCACACACTGTAGGTTTCATTTGGTTGGGGAATCCCTATTCTTTAAGGACATGTAGTAATATCTATTCCTTACTCATTCTCTAAACTAGTAGAAAATGAGCTTATTTATTCCTAGCTTATCAAGTAAGCTTCCTAATTTTACCTTATTTTTTGCAGTTTGACTAAAGAATAGACATTCCTCCAACCAAACATGACCTAAAGGTTTTAGATACCCTTAGATCTTAAAAGCCACCCAGCCCAAGCTTATGGCTTATTTGATGCACCAAGGGACACTTCATTTGCTATTCTGGCTCCCCTTTCTTTTGCCATGTAAAGCCCTACATGATGCATCAGTTCCTGCAGAAATAAAAGAAGCATCAGTCAGATTATTCTTTTGCAACTTTCGTTGGCACATAATTTTATGATTTGAGGATTTGCAGTTGGACTTTCTACATTCTTAATATGTTCCTTTACCATCGGCTAGGCACTTGCATTTAAGTCACCTGTTAAGAGGGTTTAGAATTTGAGTGGAGATCCTAGTTTTAGGAATGCATTTTTTTTTTTTTAATTACTTGAAGATTTACCTGAGGATGTGGTAAAGCTCCCTTGGTGTTTCGAGCAATGTGAAGAGGAACATCAAAGGTAGCACAGGCTTGTGAATACACAACGACGTCCTTCAGGGGAGGCAAAAACCCTCTATTCCTTGCAGATAATGTTGAACAAACAAAATCCAGTACACAAATGTCTGTACAAACCCCCACAACCAGAAGCTGCACCAGCATAAAATTAGATGGTGTTGTTTTGACTTTGAACTTGAATATAAAACGAATGGGAAATGTAGTCAATTTTGAATTGGAAATCCGCAATTTAAGCTGGATGAGTGCTTACAGTTTGAATCTGATTGTTCTTGACCCAGTCCACGAAAACATTGGAACCATCATTCTCAATTGAACCCAGATATCCATCATAGCAATCTTTGCGCCTGATTGTCACGTTTGGTTCATTCTCTATCCATTGCAAAGCTGCAGTTTATATAACAAAGCAAGATGAGAGAAAAGTAACAGGCTATGTATGATAATATATCTGTTAAAAGAGATTGAAGATTTGTTTGGTATGCAAGGAAACTGAGGAGTTTTGCCCCAGATTCTGCTGCCTAGCTACTCCTGCTATCTGACTGCGTTGGATTTTGCTGCAGGATGTTTAGTCCAGTATGAGGTTTATCATCTAGGGGCCGGAATGAACAATCAATCCTGAGAATATGGGGAGTTTAGTCAATTCGCTATCTAGCTGTCTTTGGGTTGTGCTGCAGGGTGTTTAATCGGCTAAACTTTTTATTTTTCAGGATGTTTATCTTCCAAGGTTAAGCTCTACTAAACACGTTGTAGCAGAATACAGGGGCAGCTGGGCAGGACAATCTGGAGGGCAAAACAGCGGTACCAAACATGCCTAAAGAAGAGAGAAATGACCAGGAACCAAATTGGATTCATCAGTGCCAGTAATGCAATGAGGAGGATAAGGTTCCTCAGGCTTGTTAGGTTGATGAGTATCAAGAAACGCCATAACTGGCAATTTCTTCTCGCAGAACAGTTTTGCTAGCCTTGCTGATTCATTGATCATTCCCGATATCTGCCTGTTGGGTTCTTTCGGAGCCTGAAAACCCAGAAGCAATACGAAAATTCAGACCTAAAAAGAGAAAAAGGAGAATAATAACAGAAGAATAAAAGATACCAGATTTCCAGCCCCAACAGTGCAGAAGCCATTGATGATGTCCACAAGAACAAGCCCAGTCAAACCTTCTTCAGGGAAAACTACGGTTTCCTGCTCAAGAGGCAGCTCGTTCTTCACAAGATCAATTGTTTGGGACACCATTTTCCACTGCCCAAGTCCCTTCAAAACAAGAAAACTATGATTGAATTCTATTACAGGGTGCTGAACTGATGCATATATGTAAGGATTTTTATAGATAACAGCATCTTGACTTTCAGCTATAGTCTATAGACTAAAGGCCCAAAGTCCAGAAAGTATCTGCTATTATTGCTCTCTCTTGGTGGATGAAGTCAAGAAGGTTCAGTAGAAGGATAAGACGTGAAGATCCATCCTATTGATTTTTCTCACTTTTTTTTAGAGAAAAATCAACCCCATTATTCTTTCTTGATTGGATTAGCATGACATTGCCATCAAGTGTATCACAATATATATATATATATATATATATCGAGTAAGTAAGCCACCTAGCTATAATTCGGATCATTGTCCCCATGCCAGTGACACAATGGTGGTGCTTTGTTTATTTTTTTTTGGTCAATCACAATGTTAGTGCTTTAGTGGTAGCCTATCTGGAAATAAGTACAGCATTGAATGACATGGGGATGAGATCATGAGAGAGAGCTGAAAAGCCTCTAAAACGTTAAATTTGCCAAGGGTCTTCAACCTGCTGCTAAGGGAGACCGGCTAAGGATTTGGAAAGTTCACTAATTTTTTAAAATTCACAACTTTATCTAGCTTTAATGTCGTGAGAGAATTAAGTCTTTAGATGTTCCAATGTGCATTTCTGTTGGTTTAAAATTAACTGTCAGAATAATGCTTTTTGCCTGTCCATTGCTGTTCCCTGTGCACCGTATCTAGTTTGTTCTCTGGACTGTTCGGCTTCAAAGAAATGCAAAGCTCTATCAACTATCATCAAGAGGACTTTGCTACTAATAGGATTTTTGATCTTGTTAAGGAACGTGCTGTTGAATTTTTTGCTTCTCGTCCTACTTCTGTTTCCAACAATTTCTCCTTCTGCTCAACTCTTAATTGGTTCGACTAAGCCACTTGTGGGGTTCTGCAAACTCAACACCGATGGTTTTGCTATGGACAATCCAGGCCTTGCTTTTGTAGGGGGTCTCGTAAGGGATCATCCGGGCAATTAGGTTCGGGCCATACTTCTAGCCAGGCGGCTGAAAGTTGGGGCATTAGAGAATAATTAGACCACAAAAACCATTTCCATTGTTGCTATGTTAGTATAATACTCTAAGGTGAATTACTCAATTTATATACATACTTTTTATTTGTTTTACTCATATATCTTTTATATTATATATATATTTTTTGTGTTAGGGGAATTGGGGGAAAGGGAAGGGGAAGGGAAATGAAAAATAATGAAGTTGAGTTTTAGTGGCATGGGTGAAACACTTATACATTGATCAAACAAATTACATATCAAGATTTTTTTATGTTATTTTACTTTTGCAAAAGAAACAATAAAATTTCAATTATTAAAGAGTATAAAAGATGAATTTAACATCATGAGTGAGGATAATCCAATTTATATTAAACAATAAATTTTTATTATTTAATAAAAGATAATTTTTT